TCAAGTGATCCTCCCACCTCAGCCTCCTGACGAGTTGGGACTATAGGTGCAAACCACCACGCCTGGCTAATTTTTGGTTTTTTTGTTTTGTTTTGTTTTTGTTTGTTTTATAGAGATGGGGTTTTACCATATGGCTCAGACTGGGTCTCAAGCTCCTGGGCTAGGCAATCCTCCCTCCTCGGCCTCCCCAAGTGCTGGGATTACAAGTGTGAGCCATTACACCCAGCCCAAGCCTAGTTGCAATAGGCAGAGAATAGGTCCATGACATCTTTGTTCTCCCAACCTCAGTTTTACCCGTCTGTACAATGGGTCCTCCATGAGCTTCCACTTGGCCCCCTTAGCTTGCTCCATCTGTGTACTGGGGTTCAAGATAGGTCCTCCGTGTTCGGGCAGGGTGGCTCACACCTGTAATTCCAGCACTTCAGGAGACTGAGAGCCAAGGTGGGCGGATCGTGAGGTCAGGAGATGGTGACCATCCTGGTCAACGTGGTGAAACCCCGTCTCTTCTAAAAATACAAAAATTAGCTGAGTGTGGTAGTGGGCACCTGTCATCCCAGCTACTCGGGAGGCTGAGGCAGGAGAATTGCTTGAACCCGGGAGGTGGAGGTTGCAGTGAGCCGAGATTGTGCCACTGCACTCCAGCCTTGGCGATAAGAGCAAGATTCTGTCTCAAAATAAATAAATAAATTAAAATGATGGTCCTCCACACACTTCTGCGGTGATTTGTGCCTCTCACGTGGTCTAAGTCTCAGTTTGCTTATCTGGGTGATGGGTTCTTTCAGGTCCCTGATAAACTTCTCCTGGGTCCTCCCGGCTTCTGTGTGCCCACGGTGGCGTGCACCGGTCTGCAGCAACCCCCTGCCCACTTCTGCCCAGCCCCTCCCACTCTGTGGGTCTGTCCAGGGCCCCTCCGACCTCAGCCTTTGGGGCCGGGCAGTGGGTCCGCCCTCCGTGTCCCTGGCACCCCTGACCTCTCGCCTCTCCGGCCTGCAGGATGAGTTCCACCCGTTCATCGAGGCCCTGCTGCCTCACGTCCGCGCCTTCGCCTACACCTGGTTCAACCTGCAGGCGCGGAAGCGCAAGTACTTCAAGAAGCACGAGAAGCGGATGTCGAAGGACGAGGAGCGCGCGGTCAAGGACGAGCTGCTGGGCGAGAAGCCCGAGGTCAAGCAGAAGTGGGCGTCGCGGCTGCTGGCCAAGCTGCGCAAGGACATCCGGCCCGAGTGCCGCGAGGACTTCGTGCTGAGCATCACCGGCAAGAAGGCGCCGGGCTGCGTGCTCTCCAACCCCGACCAGAAGGGCAAGATGCGGCGCATCGACTGTCTCCGGCAGGCGGACAAGGTGTGGCGGCTGGACCTGGTCATGGTCATCCTGTTCAAGGGTATCCCGTTGGAGAGCACCGACGGCGAGCGCCTGGTCAAGGCTGCGCAATGTGGCCACCCGGTCCTGTGCGTGCAGCCGCACCACATCGGCGTGGCCGTCAAGGAGCTGGACCTCTACCTGGCCTACTTCGTGCGTGAGCGAGGTGAGGTGCGGCGGGCCTGAGCGGGGCGGCCATGGGGAGGGTGTCTGATGGCGGTGACGCGGCCTGAGGAGGGCCTGAGGGAGGAGGCCAGTGCCTGTCGATGTGATGTGGTGGTCTGAGAGGGGAAATGGGCCTTGGAGGGCGTCTGACGGGGGTGACACGGGGCCAGGAGGGTCTGAGGGAGGAGGCCGGTGGGTATAGATGTGATGTGGTGGTCTGAGAGGGGAAATGGGCCTTGGAGGGCGTCTGACGGGGGTGACACGGGGCCAGGAGGGTCTGAGGGAGGAGGCCGGTGGGTATAGATGTGATGTGGTGGTCTGAGAGGGGAAGTGGGCCTTGGAGAGCGTCTGACGGGGGTGAAACGGGGCCAGGAGGGTCTGAGGGAGGAGGCCAGTGGGTATAGATGTGATGTGGTGAGAGGGGAAGTGGGCCTTGGAGAGAGTCTGAAGTGGGTGATATGGCACAAAGAGAGTCGAGAGAGGAGGCCGGTGCATATAGATGTGATCTGGTGGTCCAGGCGGGGCAGCAGGCCTGGGAGAGCATCTGACAGGGGTGACATAGTGCAAGGAGAGTCTGTAGGAGGAGGCTGGTGCATATGGATATGATGTGGTGGTCCAAGCAGGGAAGCGGGCCTGGGAGAGCATCTGATGGGGATGACATGGTGCAAGGAGGGTCTGAGGGAGGAGGCTGGTGCGTGTAGATGTGATGCAGTGATCCAAGGGGAGAGACGGGCCTGGGAGAGCGTCTGACAGGGGTGACACGGTGCAAGGAGTGTCTGAGGGAGGAGGCCAGTGCATGCAGGGCCCAGGGTAACTGCTGATGGGATGTGGAGGTCAGATGGAGGAGGCAGGCCTAGCAGGGGTCTCAAGTGAGAGATGGTACAAGGAGGTTTTTTTGACAGAGGAGGCGGGTGGGCTATGGTGCTCCAGTGGTGGAGGCAGGATCTCACCCTCACGTCTGAGGGAGGAAGCAGGAAGGCCCTTGAGGTCTTGGGGGATGAGAATGTCCTGGAGGGTCTTGGGTGCAACGGACGGCCTTGCTGGAAGCAGGGATGAGGAGAGGAGAGGGACAGACCATGCCAGCCCTCCAGGGAGAGCCGGGAGAGTCCAGGCACTGCTTCCTGTGAATGCTTGTTGGTTGATCGACTCCCAGACCACGCCAGCAGAGAGGCCTGATGAGCCTGGCCCTGCCAGCGGGCTGTTTGCTGGTGGTCAAATGCCTGATGTTGAGACCAGCAAGCTTTGCCGGGGTGAGGAAATCCAAGCTGGCTTCCCAGAGGAGGAGGTGCAGCTGAGCTCAGCTCTGCAGGATGACCAGGCTGCAGTGAACAAGGGGATGCCCCAGGGGGCCTGGCAGGAGCGTGGAGGTGGGAGGCCTGACGCCTGTGCCTCTGGTCCCGGTGCTAAGAGCAGGGTTGGTCCTGTAGCTTCTTGGCTGTGTGGCCCGCTTGGACTTCAGTTTCTCCTGCCTGCCAAATGGTGGAGATGATCAGAGTCCGTAGCTGGATGGGGCTATGGGAGGTTCCAGAAGATCATGCGTGTAGCCACGTGCAGGGTGTCAGCTGCACCCCAAGACCTGAGTGGGTGCACAGCACCCTTGCCATGCCCACCCAGGCTGTGTCTGGAGCACGCATGAACCCTCACACACCCAGGGGCTGCCAGAGCATGTGGGATGGGTGCACGCCAGACGCAGACCCATGCAGGTCACCAGCCCAACCTCAGCCCAGGCAGCACTCTATAGAAAGAGACAATTGCACAGCCTGAGAGGGAGGGGCGTTTCCTGGAACAAGGGGGACTCTGGGACCAGACTGCCCGTGCTCCAGACAAAGCCCTTCTTTTCCCCAGCTGTATGGACACAACCCTTTTCTGTGCCTCAGTTTCCTCCTTGGTGCAATGGGAGTAACAGCCATGCCACCTTCTAGAGCTGGTGCAAGAGTGAGACAGGGTCACGGGCTCCCAGGCTCTGTGGTGTGTGGAAGGAGAGCAGGGCAGAGTTACCCAGTATTTTTTTTTGTTTTTTGTTTTTCCTGGAGACAGGGTCTCACTCTGTCCCCCAGGCTGGAGTGCAGTGGTGTCATCTCGGCTCACTGTAGCCTCAACCTCCCAGGCTCAAGCGATCCTCCTGCCTCATCCTCCCAAGTAGCTGGGACTACAGGTGCACACCACCATGCCCAGCTAATTTTTAATATTTTTTTAGAGATGGAGTCTTGCTATATTGCCCAGGCTGGCCTCAAACTCCTGGGCTGAAGTCATCCTCCTGCCTTGGCCTCCCAAAGTGTTAGGATTACAGCAGGCAAGAGCCACTGCACCACACCAGTTACCCAGTCTTTTTTTTTTCTTTTTTTTTTGGAGGGGGAGATGGAGTTTCACCCTGTTGCCCAGGCTGGAGTGCAGTGATGTGATCTTGGCTCGCTGCAATCTCTACCTCCCGGGTTCAAGCGATTCTCCTGCCTCAGCCTTCCCAGTAGCTGCGATTACGGATGCCCGCCACCATGCCTGGCTAATTTTTGTATTTTTAGTAGAGACAGTGTTTCACCATGTTGGCCAGGCTGGTCTTGAACTCCTGACCTCAAATGATCCACTGGCCTCAGCCTCCCAAAGTGCTGGGATTACAGGTGTGAGCCACCGTGCCCGGCAGTTACCCAGTCTTGATCTTGATTCTTTGACCTTGACCTTAGCATCTTTCTCCTCCCCCACCCCCACTAATGAGCAACAAACCTACTGGGGCTGGCTGTGAGGGGGCATTGGGGACGGTGGGGGCAGAGAGGTGGGCCGGGCGACTGCCTGTTGGGGGCAGGAGGCAGGGGCCACCGTGGGGGCGGGGGTGCTCATCGCCACACAGGGCCAGACCTCTCTGCCACCACACATCTTCCTCGCCCGGCCCCGCCCCCACCTCCTCCGCGCTGAGCTGATAAAATTTTGAAGCGAGCTTTCTGCTGCAGTCAGCACAACCTCTGGGCACCTCCCCACCCCCACCCAGCCCCTCCCGCCTCTGCTCAGCAGGCAGGCCTGTGCCCCGGGTCAGGTTGGCCTCTCTGAGTGAGGGCTGCACCCTCCCTTGCCCCCAGCCTGTCCCCTTCGTCCCCAAGGGAATCCCTGCTTCAGTTGGCCCCAGCAGGCCACACACCCCCCAGATTAGCCCCAGCAGGCCACACCCCTCCCCCCAGCCATACCACCTGCCCACTGCGAGTGCTCCATCTCCTCATGGGGGTGAGAGCTGGGCCTGGACTCCAACCCCAGCTCAGCTGCCCACTGGCTGGGTGATCTGGGGCCGGTCACTCACCCTCTCTGTGCTTCATTTCCTTGTCTGTAAACTGGGGGGCTCAAAAATGGTTGCCCTGTGGGAAATGTCGCGTGCCCAGGGTGAGGGCTCAGTAAACCACCATGAGGCACCGTGAAGACCAGGCATTAGGTATGGGGCTAGGGCCCTCCATAGTTATCATTACTAACGTTATCCTCTTCAGGATTGCTTTGTTTGTTTGTTTTTGTTTTCGTTTTTGTTTTGAGATGGAGTCTTGCTGTGTCGCCCAGGCTGGAGTGCAGTGGCGCGATCTCGGCTCACTGCAAGCTCCGCCTCCCAGGTTTAAGCAATTCTCCCGCCTTAGCCTCATGTGAGTAGCTGGGACTACACACGCCCACCACCACGTCCGGCTAATTTTTGTATTTTTAGTATAGACGGAGTTTTGCCATGTTGGCCAGGCTAGTCTCCAGCTCCTAACCTCAGGTGATCCACCCACCTCGGCCTCCCAAAGTGCTGGGATTACAGGCGTGAGCCACCACAACTGGTCTTGTTTTTTAGTTTTTGCAGAGATAGGGTTTCGTCATGTTGCTCAGGCTGATCTCGAACTCCTGGGCTCGAGTGATCCTCCTGCCTCGGCCTCCCAAAGTGCCGGGATTACAGGCGTGACCCCCGGCGCCTGGCCCATGCTCCTCATTCTGAGTATAATCTCCCACTGCCAGGCCTTTCCTTATGCTGTTCCCTGAACATAGAATGTCTTTCCCATATGGAAAACCCCAACTCTGGCTGGGTGTGGTGGCTCATGCCTATAATCCCAGCACTTTGGGAGGCCATGGCAGGTGACTCTCCTGAGCTCAGAGCTCGAGACTAGCCTGGGCAACATGGCAAAACCCCGTCCCTACCAAAAATACAAAAAATTAGCCACCTGCCTGGCTAGAAATTCTTGCCCATTCTCACAGCTGCCCTGTGAGGCAGGGATCATTGCTGTATGTTTTTTGTTTGTTTGTTTGTTTGTTTGTTTTAGATGGGGTTTCACTCTGTCGCCCAGGCTGGAGTGCAGTGGCGCGATCTCGGCTCACTGCAACTGCTGCTTCCTGGGTTCAAGCAGTTCTTGTGCCTCTGCCTCCCGAGTAGCTGGGATTACAGGCAAGTGCCACCACGCCTGGTCGGTTTTTGTGGTTTTAGTAGAGACTGGGTTTTACCATGTTGGCCAGCCTGCTCTCGAACTCCTGGCCTCAAGTGATCTGCCTGCCTCGGTCTGCCAAAGTGCTGGGATGACAGGCGTGAGCCACCGTGCCCGGCCTGCTGTATGCATTTTACAGAGGAGGAAACAGGCTCAGAGGAGGGATCTGACCTGCTGAGGTCACACAGCTGAGACTGGGCCAGGTGGGATTTGGACTCAAGCAGCGTCTACCTCTGCCCTGTCCTTGACACCAGCCTCGTCCTCTGTTAGTGTCGGAAGGGGATGGGCGGAAATTGTGGTGCGTGAGGGAGCAGTCTGCTGGCATGGTGTGGTCACCTTCTGGCTCGGTTGTGTGAGGATCTCACAGGCTGAGGTCTTACATAGGGTCCCCAGGCTGTGGCTGGCCTCAAGGCCTCCACGCTGATCCTGGCGGTTGTCACCTTGACAGCAGGAGGACTGGCCACCAGCTTCCTTTTCCGAACCGAGAGTCCCCTTGGCTGTGGAGCGTCCTGGCCCAGCCAGAGTGCAGCGTCTGGCTTTCATCAGCCCTGCTGGGCAGCTGAGACCCTGGGATAGATGT